CTGACAACGCGAGGACTTTCCACGCTGCTAGCAAGGAGTTAGCAGAGCTTAGTCAGGTTTTTGCCGACCAACGAACAAGCCAGCACTTCGCCCGCAACGGTATCTCATGGAAATTCATCGCATCACGGGCGGCTTGGTGGGGAGGCTGGTGGGAACGAATGGTTGGAACAGTAAAACGTTGCCTAAGAAAGGTGTTGGGTAAAAGCCAAATCAATCAAGAAGCCCTTGGAACACTGTTAGTGGAAGTAGAAGCCGCCATAAACTCTAGACCAATCGTTCAAGACGACTCTGATGTGCTGACGCCAAGTCACTTTCTAAATGGTGAACGCTTGACGGCATTGCCCACCGGTCCGGAGCCCACCACCCGAGACAACCTCAGAAAAGAAGCCAGACTTAGGGAGAAAATGCAGGAAGACTTCCTAAAGCGGTGGCAGAAGGAGTATCTCCTCGAACTGCGAAGTTATCACCAGGTACGGCGCCCTAAAGAAAGATCTAAGGAATATCGTGTAGGAGATATCGTTTTACTTCAGGACGATCTACGACCACGGCACATGTGGCAGAAGGCTCGAATCCACGAAACGCGACCTGGCCGGGACGGAAAGGTGCGGACAGGTATCCTCCGGACCGCCAACGGTACCAACGTCAGCAGACCTGTGCAGCTGGTCATCCCACTGGAGATCGACCAGGGTGGGGAGGATGTGGAGGACTGACGTCTCTTAAGTACAACTGCACCACCATCACATTGCTTCCTCTATGTAATACGTTCCTCTCCTAACTTGCAACCTCTATGTAGAGAGAGAGAGAGAGAATAAATATGGCTACTGTGTGAATAGTACTGTTTTACTTGCTCCCACAACGGTGACAGTCAGCTTATGTTTCGCCTCAATCTTAATAGTGTGCATCCTGTTGTGTTATAAATAAGGTATGCAGCCTACACACCAATTCTGTATATAAAGATAAAGAACACACTACTGCATCAACATTTGTTTTTATTTTGTTTTTACAGACGCAACAAGTTTCGAGCCTTATACCGGGTCATCATCAGGCGTACAATGCTGCAGCTTCAGTTGTTGAATTGCAATTAATTTTCATCTAATTCTTTAAATAAGGATACTTGTTGTGTCTTGAATTATTTAAATGCATGAATTCATAAATTGGGCCTGTTGGTCAAAATTTAAAACTTAAATGCTTAGATAATGAAATTTAAAATAAATGTATAAAGATTAAAATTAGAAATTAAAGATTAGGACATGAAAGGTAAAATTGTGTTTTGTGGTAAAACTCTGCGACCGCTACGTGTTGACCCGGTTTTTATGCCGGTAGAAGCGACTCTAGCGTGGGGCTCCTCGTATCGGAACATTCTCACATGGGATAGGTCGTGTAGTCATAATCTTGGTACTCGTAACGTCTTGCGGAGCTATGCTCAATATTCCGTATGTGATGTATATTAGGTTGTCCTTATGAATGCTGTGTACGTGCTGCTCTCTACGTTGTAGCGGTTCGGACTAGACTACTTGTTTTGCCACACAAGAAATCATACTAAAGGCTGTAATAATGAGTACAGGCTGTTTAACCTTGGCGTCACTGTATGTTTGATCGGTTCCTCGCATGACTTAATTTGTGGAAGTTATTCGTTATATGATAGTTTCGCGTGACAGTGGTGTTAATGCCGTCCTGTAACGCACTTTCACTTTCGTCTGGTGTCATTTTTAAGGGAAGAAGGACCTTAATGAAATTTCCCTGTTCTATGTGTGTTTTTACGATTCATGTATGAGCATTACGTATTTCGGGACCACAGTCTGTGATAAGAACATTTGTGACTTGGTAACGACAGGAGCGGGGCTTAATTCGATGTCTCCAAAAACGTGTAGGTATAGACGATCTAGGTCTATATGCACAGTATGTATGAGGCACTGCATAAGATTTACTGTGAACTCACAGAGCCCTTGCTGGGAACCCGCATTCCTCTGTCGCCCATCGCGCATCCAAGTTCTATGACACATAGCTGTACAAGTGTATGGCTTCAACTTGCTCATGTTTCAGTATATGCTGTGTGCAGGGAACGTAGTAGCGTAGTTGTTTGAGGCACTATGCTACAAGCCGGAATGTCGCGGATTCGAATTCTGATGTGGTCAGTGGACTTTTTAGTTGACCTTATCCTTCCAGCCGTACTATGGCGCTGGTGTCGACTCAGTCTAACAGAAATGAGTATCAGGAATCTTCCTAGGTGTGAAGAGCGGCCGGCGCTTAAATCTAACCTCTTTACCCCAATCTGTGAGCTAGTTGTCTAGAAAATGTGGGAGCCTCGACGTCTCAGAAACTTATGGGCATCCACTACCTGTTACAGGGATAGCTTTACCTTTTTTAACTTTTATGTCTTCTCTGCGAGCAAAGTTGATGATCAAGACATTTATTTTGTTAAATGTGTATTGATTCTTTGTATACCTAAAAATAGTTTTAAGGGACTAAGAGAAACCACGACAACGTCCAGGGATTAAATCAATTGTTCATGCCGAGTTGCGAAATAAGGACCACCCTCATATGAAGCACGAACGCAGGCTTAGAGTTTGTGCAGCTGTTTGCACTGATTCAGGGAAGGGAATAGTATTGATGAATATTAACGCATGCTCTACGTTGAATGCAATTTATTGTGCTGAAATTCTCTCATCATAATACAAGGTGAAGTAAAGAGTGAATTTACACAGTAACATATGAATGATAATATTTAGTGTTATTATTACTAATTAATTAATTAATGATCCATTACAGAATGAATTTGAGCAGAAAACTCCAAACCTGACAACTAGTTCAGTTATGACTTATCTCTAATGACTGACATAACTGACTGACTCATAACAGGTTGAGGTATCAAAACACGCTGTTTCTCAGAATAAAGGATTTCCGTCAATTTACATTTCTGCTTTGGATGGTAATGGTTTAATATTTTGGTGCTAATCGTTTGTGACTTACTTGTAATCGTATAAGAGGTTGCCTGATATTTGAAGCTTTGAAACTTAGATAAAATTTATTAATTATTTCATTATATGATGGATATTTTTATTTGCGACTGATAAAACTAAGGTAATTAAAATGTCGTGTCATGTGATGTCATGAAGTTTTAAATGCTGATGACGTCAGTGAATTACATTCATAAAAGGCAATCGAATGCGTATATGAGAGGTAACTTAGACAGGAGCCTTATTTACTGGTGTTCCCTGCTATTCCTACCTATTTGCGAAGTTTTGTTTCGGGTGTGTATTGTGGTGACCTAATAAGAACTGATAATCAAATCATAACACACTCGATTCTGCTTTCCACACGATTTCAGTCGCCGCGAATGTGATACGGTGAGGGCCTACACGAACTTTGCCTTGCAAAAACTGTATGTTTACGGCTGAAGACATCGTTGTTATGGATGTCACGTTTTGTGTGCAAGGTAGATTGTAATTGGCAAATTGCACATACTGTGAGATCATGCGCATGGCAGATATTTCGTAACATACTGTGGCGTATTTGCTCCGGGCAAGAACGGTTGAGCACAGAAACACGCGCGCAACAATAGAACACCGGGGTTATACAAAGCCGTTTCTGGGCAACGGCTCGGTAAACACACTTCCACTTAGGCGTTACGTCTCACAACAGTACAATAACAGTGTTGGTCTTCTTTTCCGTGCTGCTTGCGCATGCTCGATGTCTTCACACAATTATACAGTGGGTGTGTTTTCTGTGTGGTCCGTGTGGAACCTATGTAAAAAGGATCTCTTGTAGTTTATATGTTTTCAGTAAAGACAGTGGAAGCCGCAAGGGAGCGTTTTAGGGCCGCTACTATACCTGGTTTATGTTAACGATACTTGGAGGGACATTCACTCAAACATACAGGATAATATTGGATAGTAGTGACACTGGCAAGTTGCAGACGGATATAAATAAAATAGGGAATAGGCGGAGTTCAGTGAATCAAGTGAAGTAATGTGAAGTGCCCTTGTTCGAGTGCAGTGAAACGAACACAAGCAAGTGCCATTTATAACTTTTTATGTTTGGATTTGCACTGTGCACATATGTACTGGCTGTTGTATGTACTTTATTCTGTATTGTTCCTTTTATGTTATAGTCTTTCCTTGTCTGTATCAGTGTAAGAGCTACTATCACCAGGTCAGTACCCAATTGGAGTAAAATAATAATATTTAGGCACTCATCAGTTCACCTATCGGTAGGATCCACGGGAAGTTCGTAGTCGAAGAAGAAATAGAAGTTTGCCTGTGAAGACTTAGTGTGTGATTAGAATATTTAGTTGCAGTGAGACTGCTTTTATTCCGTTATCAGGAGACGACTAGTAAAGACTGACAATCCTAGGGCGTGTGTAACGGTGAACTGCAAATTGTGTAAAACAGCGATAGCGCTGAAATATTTTTAATTGAGAGAGATGGTAAAGTAAGTGCCAATAAATCCAATCATCCGATCTAGAACCCGTTATATTCGTCACGCGTACCCCCCTACACGTGAGCATGTGAGTTACACTGTTGCCGTGCAGATGACCATGAAGAATACTGTTCTTTGGGACTCAGCGACACTTAAGTCTCAACTAAATGGGTACTAAGGCTACGGACTAAGAGACAGCCTTTCTCTTCATTTCAGTGGGAAAACCGTCACTACCGTCACCACCAATACCCTTGTGACCTAAGACTGATGACGGCTCGTTGATCAGAAATATTGTCAAAAGCATTTCGTTAAAAGTAAACAGACGTTTCGGAGGCACATGCTGCCTTCATATTCAAGGTCGAAGGATAAGCCAAGGAAGAACGCAGAATTATCTTCCCACCTGCTTCATGCTGGTTTATTACTTAGCGTATCTTTTACCCTGAAGACAGTGATATTTTCCTCCGATTCGTGTATGTCAGAGGATAAAACTCTTCATTAACAGTGCTGTGAGAACGTTATATTGTACATGAATAGTATTGTTGGGTGTAGAGCGCCGTTACTAGCTTACTGCAAACTAAGCAACTTATCAGCGTAACAATGATTGCACACGCAACACACGAACACTTCACGTGTACGTCTACGGTGACGTCACGCAACAATAGAGCTGCGGGAAGCGATCTTGCCACGCTGTCCGGCACCATGCGGACAGTGCCGCTGTAATGGAAAGCCTGATGCCACGCAACCCACATCAACCGAGGAACTCTATGAATGTATCTGGAGAAGGATCCATTATGGGGGGAACGAAATGTGACTGACAGGTTCATCTACTCCACGGCAATGAGGAAGTACTCAACGAATGCACCTGCTGCATCGTATAAAATGCTACCACCCTGCGTTTTCTGAATGCTTTTAGCAGCTACAAATGGTTCGAATCCAATGGATGAGACGCTACTAGGACAGCCCATAAAATTTTCTGGAATTTTTGGAGGAAACAGATTTGAATTTCTTTCGAAACTTCCATTCTGCTCAAGAAGCCATTTGTCTATTATAATGATGTCTGCTACTTTACCACAGTTCCCTAATTTATACGGAAAGAAAGTGTACACATCGAAGGTTGTAGTTTCCTTCACTGCCATAAGCGATGTGTGATTGAGAGTGAAGAGTTGACTGGAATTTGATATCAGAACTACGATATTTGATACCTCGCCAATCTCCCATAGAATCTCACAGATGTGTCTAGCCAGTGACATATGAGGCTCACTGTCTTGACCGATTACTAAAACAAGGAATG